GTAGCAGCCCGGCCCAGCCCAGCCCACCCACCCACCCCTAAGGTCAGCCATGCTTACAAATGCGTATCAGAACACATGGTGTACCGCATCCAGTGCACGAAATGCTCCAATAGCAATTGCGTGGGTGAAACCAGACAGTCACTTCACTATTTTCACACAGGAAAATAAGACAAAAACACCATGTCACTTGTGGGTGAACACTTTTTTCACAAAGCAATCAGTCCATATCTGACCTGTAAGTCCTCATCCTCACAGGAAACCTGCACAACGCTTTCAAAAGATGAGCCTGGAAGCTTAGATTTGTAACTTTGCTGAGACTAAAATTCATGGACTGAATAGACACACTGATTTATGGCTTATTACAACAGTCTATAACCCACTCACAACCCCTTCAGCTACTTCCCCTCTGACTGTGGAGGGGTGTTAATGGGCCACTTCACCTTGAAGGGTGACTTGAAATGTGTTAACTACTTTGCTAAACGATCTGTTCCACTTTGCATTTAGCTGTGACACCAGTGTTTCCCACACCTGAAGAAGAGCTCTGTGTAGCTTGAAAGCTTGTCTCTCTCACCAACAGAAGTTGGTCCAATAAAAGATGTTACCTCACCCACCTTCTCTCTAAGGCCTGGGCTACACTGGGGTGGGGTTTCAAACTAAGATGCGCAACTTCAGCTAAGTCCAAGTATCTTAGTTCGACTTACCTGGCCGTACTCATGGAGGTGAGTCGACCGCGGCGGCTCCCCAGTCGACTCCGCTTACCCCTCCTGCCGAGGTGGAGTACAGGCATCGATTCGGGGATTGATTTATCATGTCTAGTCGAGACAAATCGATTCCCCAATAGATCGATTACGCGCCAATTCAGCAGATAGTGAAAATGTACCCTAAGGAAACAAAAAGAAAAGGAGTACTTGTGGCACCTTAGAGACTAACCAATTTATTTGAGCATGAGCTTTCGTGAGCTACAGCTCACTTCATCGGATGCATACTGTGGAAACTGCAGAAGACATTATATACACAGGGACCATGAAACAATACCTCCTCCCACCCCACTCTCCTGCTGGTAATAGCTTATCTAAAGTGTAAGGAGAGTGATCACTTTAGATAAGCTATTACCAGCAGGAGAGTGGGGTGGGAGGAGGTATTGTTTCATGGTCCCTGTGTATATAATGTCTTCTGCAGTTTCCACAGTATGCATCCGATGAAGTGAGCTGTAGCTCACGAAAGCTCATGCTCAAATAAATTGGTTAGTCTCTAAGGTGCCATAAGTACTCCTTTTCTTTTTGCGAATACAGACTAACACGGCTGTTACTCTGAAACCTAAGGAAACACTGACTTTTTCTACAGAACCAAATTTGTATCCCAAAATTTCCAGACACTCCCAGTCTAAAGACTGAGCTTAAACTTGAACAATATTTCTGCATGGAAAAGTACTGTCTTGTTATACCTTCAGTACCTGTCTTGTAGTAGTAGTGTCCTGCTTTTCTTTCCAGAAGAATCTTGCTAACCCGCACGTTGCTAATAATGCATCAAGTCTCTCCTGTTCTTTCCTTGCAGCACATAGTTCTTCTTTGAGTTGTGTCCCTATAGGTGCTCCAGTGTAGGTGTATCCATGTCCCTGCACCTCAGATCAGTCTGAGGTCCAGGGACGTGGATATACCTACAGTGGAGCACCCCTAGGGCAGAGGTGGACAAATTACGGCCTGCGGGCCACATCCGGCCTGCGGGACCCTCCTGCCTGGCCACTGAGCTCCTGGCCCCGGAGGCTAGTCCCTGGCTTCTCCCCTGCTGTTCCCCTTCCTCTGCAGCCTCTGTGTGCCATGCTCCCAGTGTAGTGTATTAAACTGCTCCGCATAGGAATGTGCTACTGGTAGCAGTTATGGAGAGCAATTTACTACGCTACACCAGCGCAACGCTCGGGGCGGCCAGGCAATGCTCTGGGCAGTACAGCTGTAGCACCGCCAGCCACTGGTGCTCCAGGCAGCGCGGTAAGGGAGCAGGGGGGGGTTGGATAGAGGGCAGAGGAGTTCAGGGTGGTGGTCAGGGGGTGGGGGTGTGGATGTGGGGGCCCAGTCAGGAAGAAGGGGGGGGTTGGATGTGGTGGTGGGGGGCAGTCGGGCAGAGGTTCCGGGGGCGGTCAGGGGACAGGGAGTGTGGGGGGGTGGATGGGGCAGAGGTCCTGGGGGGGCCCGTCAGGGGGTGAGCAGCAAGGGGGTGAGCAGATAGGGGCCAGGGGCACAGCCTCCCTTAACTGGCCCTCCATACAATTTCGGAAACCTGATGTGGCCCTCAGGCCAAAAAGTTTGCCTGCCCTTGCATAGGGGGACACATCTCAAACCACAGTTACTCAGAAGGCAAGTAACCTCTTCTTCTGTCTCCTGAGGGCTAAAATGCTTTAGCCTAATTAAAGCTATTGGGATCAATACAGGATAATTGGGTCAAATTCTATAATAGAAACATAGGGTTGGAAGGGACCTTGAAGTCATCAAGTCCAGGCCCCTGTGCTGGGGCAAGACCAAGGAAACCTAGACCATCCTCAAACATCCAAGGTGTTTCTCCAACTTGTTTTTAAATGCTTCTAATGATGGGGACTCCACAACCTCCCTTGGAAGCCTCCCTTAACTACCCTCAGCCCTGGTCTACACTAAGAGTTTAGGTCGAATTTAGCAGCGTTAGATCGATTTAAACCTGCACCCGTCCAGACGACGAAGCCATTTTTGTCGACTTAAAGGGCTCTTAAAATCGATTTCTGTACTCCTCCCTGACAAGGAGATTAGTGCTGAAATCGACATCGCTGGGTCGAATTTGGGGTAATGTGAATGCAATTCGATGGTATTGGCCTCTGGGGAGTTATCCCAGAGTGCTCCATTGTGACCTCTCTGGACAGCACTTTGAACTCCGATGCACTAGCCAAGTACACAAGAAAATACCTAAGAACTTTTGAATTTCATTTCCTGTTTGGTCAGCGTGGCGAACTCAGCAGCACAGGTGACCATGCAGTCCCCCCAGAATTGTAGAGCATAGAATGTTTCTATGCTCCCCCTATCATCTCTGTCCCTGAGGTTATCGCAGATTAGAAGGCAAAAAAAATGCACTCATGATGATGTGTGTTCCAAGCTCGTGCAGTCCTCCCACGCTGATAGGGCACAGTTTAATGCATGGAGGCATTCAGTGGCAGAGGCCAGGAAAGAATTGTTGTGTTTACTTAACAGCAAAAGTATCATGCCTTGCTAGCGATCCTGCCCGATCCAGGTCGCTGCATCACATGCACTCCGCGCTGTGTCAGCCTTGGACGGGGGCATGACCGCTTTGTGAGCAGGAAGGCCATAGATATAGACATTGCATTAGGTAGCTTCTGTAGCTAGAGAAAACATTCCTGTGCATTTGGCAAAGTATGTGGCAAAAAAGGAGAAGCCCCATGACACACCAAACTATTAATAATACACAACCACACATTACATAAAGTATAATAGGTACCATGCGAGGGCTACATTCAAGTTGGGTTTCCGTAGGGTAGTGATTATCACGTTCACCTAACGTGTGAAAGGTCCCCGGTTCAACATCTGGTGGAAACCGGTCACTGTTCATTTTTCTGACTTCCCTCCTGCATTTTTAGTCTTAGAACAGACCAAGCTGTGAAATTTTACTTTGAATTGTATCAATTATGACTTAAATAATATGGAAGCTCTCTCTAAGTTATAGGCCCAGGTTCCTTACCCTTTCAGCTGCTCTGATAAATTAACATTTTTGTTAGGGGTGGGGAAAAATTTTCGTGATGCCTTTTATAAGGACTAAATGCTATCTAGGACTCTGAAATAATCTTAACATGGCCCACTGAGTGCAATCCTTCATTCTGGATTTGTCATTCCACAAGCTGAACTGCTCCTTAATACTGTCCAGGCTTCATGAGCCGTGGGAGCAAGGGGCAGGCTGGGGCAGGTGTGACCGAGCGGAGCTGCCGGCTGGGAGAGCAGCCTGAGGCAGAAGCCTCCAGCTCTCATGATATTCCAGGCAGGACTGAATCTCCATGAGATGAAACTTAAAGAAGAGAATCACCTGGAGTCTTTCCCATTCAGTGCTCTAAGAGGAGGGTAGCCACGTCTGTCCAGGCACCCCGATCGATCTCACCGAGGTCTGCCAGGAGCACCCGGGGACATATGACGGCTATCAGTCCTACTGCACTCTCTGCCCTGAAGGCAAGGATCTGCTAAGTAGCAATACAGTACCGCGTCTACCAGAAGACGTACGGTGATGGTGAGCTGAGCAGGCTCCATGCTTGTATGGTATGACAAGCATGGCAGCAGGCTGAGCAGGGCCAGCAGCCGGGACCCCGGAAAAAAATGATTGTCTGCCGTTGCTTTCACGGAGGGAGGGAGCGGGGCCTGACAACGTGTACCCAAAACCACCCGCGACAAAGTTTTTGCCCAATCAGGCACTGGAAGCTTAACCCAGTGTTCTAATGGGCTGCAGAGACTGCGGGAACTGTGGGATACCTACCCACAGTGCACTGCTTTTTAAGTCGATGCTAGCCACGGTAGTGAGGATGCACTCCGGCGACTTTATGTGCTTAGTGTGGACATATGCAATCGATCTATATAAAACTGAATTCTAAAAATCGACTTCTATAAAATTGACCTAATTTTGTAGTGTAGACATACTCTTTAGAGTTAGAAAGTCTTCCTGATATCTAACCTAAATAGCCCTTGCTGCAGATTAAGCCCATTACTTCTCATCCTACCTCTGGTGGATATGGAGAACAGTTGATCACAGTCCTCTTTATGACAGCCCTCAACATATTGGAAGACTATCAGGTCCCCCTCAGTAGTCTTTTCTCAAGACTAAACGTGCCTAGTTTTTTTTTTTTTTTTTTCAACCTTTACTCATATGTCAGGTTTTCTAAAACTGTTATTTTTTCCACGTTTGGTTAGCAGTAGCTATTTTCTTAATATGAAACATTAATTGATTTTATTCTTGCAATCTCATATTTCCTTTTTTCTTTTCAGATTCTAAAGATCTGCCTTTACTGAGTTCTCCAGGAGGTAACCAACCACTGTGGAGCTACATTAGTAGTCTGGAGATGGTGCCAAAAGAACTTCATGTTCCTATGACTTGTATTGTAACCTGACTCAGTGATACTTTTGGATATACATTTCTATTCTAAGGAGAAGAGTGCGTACTCCCAATTCTGCCAGTTTACTGGCAGAGATTTTGTGTTGTAAGATCATGGACCATTCAAACAGGGAGAAGGATGAAAGGCAGCGGACAACAAAAGGAATGCCAGGGAGGAGTGGGCATGGTTCTCGACCGAGTTCCGCTACATCCTCTGGTGTTCTTATGGTGGGACCCAATTTCAGAGTGGGCAAGAAGATAGGGTGTGGGAACTTCGGAGAGCTCAGACTAGGTAAGAATATAGCTGTCTTAGTGGCTTGCATTACATGAGCTTGTATCTCATAATTGGTGTTTAAAATCTTAAGATAGAAAGTAATGAATATTTAAGTACTTTTAAATTTAAATAATTTACTCTGGTGTTAAAGCAACATGATTCCACAAAAGCTGGTGCAGGTTGAGTGATAGTCAGGGGTGATTGTCACATGCCACAATTTCCTTGCAACCACAGAGTTGCTTTTTCTGTGACTATTCAGGTATGTAATGGACTACCTTTGTTCGAGTTTTGGAGTGCTTGCACATGAACAAATCCACAGCAAGTGGCAGCTGTGTATGCCCAAAGATGTGAATTCTGAACACTCCCTGGCAAACCTTGTTTAATGCATATGAAGGCTTATCTCTTGTACACCTTTTAAAATCCATTTTGCCTGTTCTGAAAAGTGTTTTTTATTAAACCTTTGAGCAACACAAAAAACTTACTGTTAACATGCTTACTCTTGTTAAAAGTAAAATTCATCCAAGGCAAGGGATGTGTTCAATAAAAGATGTTGTTGTTTTTTGATATCATCTTTGTATCACTCTCCAAATGGTTTCTCTGTTACTTGGATCCCAAAAGCATAACTTGTTGAAGATTATTCTTGCATCTGTCAGAAGGAAAATGTCTTTTGCTTTTTGTTTTATGCACCTCTTATGCTTTTGCTTCTGTTAAAGGGGTTGCATCTCTATTTTGTTTTGCTTTTCTGTATCAGCTGTATGTTAGGTTGCAATATTTTCCGAACAGTTGCGTAACTATTATTCCTGCTTTCTTACTAACTCTGTGAAAGGAGCACTCACAGCCTGCTTGGTTTTCTTCTGGATCAACTAGCTTGTTCTGTTCACAGGATTGAGAATAATTTGAAGGCAATTGGACCAAGAATGCTGACTTCTGGCGGTCACTTAAAACTATTGTTTTAAAGCAATGTTGTTGTAGCCTTGTTGGTCCCAGGATATTAGGGGTATTATTAGCATTTCTCTCACCAAGAGAAGTTAGGCAAATAAGATATTACCTCACCCATCTTGTCTCTCTGTTTTAAAGCCAAACATTTACTTATGTGATCAAGATGTTAATGTTGAGATGTTCCCAGCCTCTTTGGAGCCATAGGGATCCTCATGTGTGGTGACAGTTCTTTAGCCAAGAAGGCCTGGATGTAGCTCCTCCTGGAACTAGTTGGTGTCTCTTTTGTGAACTAGAAGGGGTGGTTCATCAGTGCTGTATGCCTCAAGAAGCTGAATAAGTGTCCTCCATGGCATTTCCCAACTCCTCTACGTTTGGGACTGGAGGACTGAGCTGCAGCTTGATACCAGAAATCCCATGTATTGTGCTTATAGATGATGATGTCTGATTACCAATAGATTACAAAGATTCATAGACTCACTGAAATAATGAAACTCCAGTCTAGTAGAGCATATTGGTGCTGTCCTGCAGAACTGCCACTCAGGTGCAGTGGGAACTTCTCTCTGAGATGTTGAGGACACGTATGATGTGAGCTCTGACAAGTGGTACATATGGTTATATTAAAGGCTGACCTCTTTCCAGATGGGAACCTCAAAGTGATATGCTACTTTCTCAGGCTAACTTCTCCCAAAGAAATATAGTTTTCATTCTTGCTTCCTTAGCTTTTCTCAGTGACTTGTTTTAATTTATTTTCAATGCTGATGCCTTTTGAATCTCCAGGCTTAAAATTGGGACAGTTTTCCCTTCAGTGGCCTGGCGGAATGGTGATTTTACTTGAGGTTAAGAAATGCACTGTCTCACAAGAAGTGGGCTGTGTGAATGTAGTAGTGTGCATTTTATAACTCCTTGTTAAATGGCATGGATCTAAGAATGTTAGTATTGAGAATGTTAGTATGTAAGCTAGTCTGTGATGCATGGAATTTCTGGATCAGTGGAATAAAATGAAAATACCAAAATAATAAAAATAAAAAGGTAGGTTCAGGAATTCAACTTGGGTTCCCATTTTGGGGTAAGCGATGGGGGAAGAACTAACCAGCGCTTTGGTATCAGGAGGATGATTCTTAAGAAGTGTTTGTAAGAGCTATGTAAACTTGATCTCATGCATAGATTTTTTTTTTTAACTAGAAAAAAAATTACTAGCCTTGAAATGAATGGAACCTATAGATAAGTACTGTAGGCATCTAGTTAGTTCAGACATGACTAATCCCAGGGCTTTTCATAGCTGTCCAATGACAAATCCTTTGCTAGAGAGAAAAGAATTTGTGAAGCTAAATTTAGGATTTAGAAAATCATGTTACTATTTATGAGCACCTTAAAACATGCTAGGCTAACAATCCCTGCTCCACAGTGTTTACAATATAAATGGGACATGATGCAATAAATGAAGGTCATGGACAGGCAAAAAGTGGGCAATGCGAAGAGGGAAAAAGAGAGTGTAACAAGATGATCTAGTGGCTATGCAGTAAGCAGTGTGCAAAACTTGATGGTTCCATTAACATGTTTACTCACTCTTGCTTCTCATTGACTCCTCCTGGACACAGTAGTAGAAACTAGCTCCAGCTGGCCCTATACTGCATCAGTGTCAGTGGAAACAGTGGAGTGTGAACATGCTTAAAGAGGTCAGGTCCCTTCTCTGCTTCTCCTCTCACCCCCATGGGAATGCAGCAGCAGTGGTGCGAACCACCTCCAGGTGGCCCAGCACACACCCAGTCTTACCTGGAAGCAGGACAGCGACTGCCATTTATTCCTGAAGATTTGGAAATGAGAAGTGAAGAAAATGACATTTTCTAAAATTTGGAAGTGAGGCTGTGACTGCTGTTCCAGCCCCTCTGCACTGCACAGAAACCACCACTGGTAAGGAGGCTGCCAGAGGGATCCATCTCTTATGGGGAAAGAGCCCTGAGCCTCAGCCTTGCTCCTCCTGGCTTTGCCACCATTTCCTGGTCAGGAGGCCTCTTATAGTTATAACTCAGACATTACTAAATGGTCAGTGCCTTCTGAACTTTACCTCTTCTTCAAAGCATGTAAGAACAATAGAGTTGTCATGGACAACAGAAACAGCTTACTTCAAGGAAACAGATTGTCTGATGCGGTTGGTGATGTAATACCTTTGACTTGATGTTGCCCTGGCAGACTTAATTTATGTTGACAGGGCTGTGGATGAAAAAATCCAAAAACTCAGCTCTTCACTTGCCTCTGTAGGACCCTCGCAGGTTCTCTGTGAACCAACACACACAGCTGGTCACGCCCTGGACCTCATGTTTTGTTTAGTTATCAATATTGACGGCATCACAACCCATGCTTTGAGCATGACTTCATTTAAGGCAGAACTCTACAATCTCCCAGGAAACAAGAAAGGCCCATGATCCTGATTCTACTACCAAGACTAATGGACACCATCAAATTACAAAGCCTGCTAAAGGACAGTAGCACTGAACGTATAGGACAAGGACTCAAGGATCTGGTGAACCATCATTGCATTCTAGCCTTTGACATTCTGACCCCCTAAACAGCTCCTCCCTCCCCATCACGCAACGGTGACTCCATAGTCTTAGAAGTTTAGTCTAGTTTTAATTAGCTTTAGGTGGGAGCAGTAGTTTAAAAAAAAACAAACTTTTTCAAACTTTTTTCCTAGTTTTTAAGGACCATTGTCCATTTAAATTTTCTCCCTTCCTCCTTGGAGCTTTACATTACTGGGCGATCCTGCCTAGTTCTCCTAGTTTTTTTAAACACTGCCTATCATGGCAGAAGGTAATTCCAGTGAATGACAGATAATCCCGGTGTATCCGTTGCCTCTGGAAATCTCACTTACCCTCAAAGTGCATATCCTGTCTGGCAATAAAATCTAATGCCAGAAAAAACAGGGAGGTCAAAGTACATCTTGTCATGACGGAGAGCGCTCTTCGCTTGCCCTCTGATCCAGACCCAGAGACATCATTCCTCCCCCTCCCCCTCAATACGTTAGTCTCCAAGTACATCAGGTACTTCTATTGCCTCAGCAGTGCACTCCCTGGGAGCAGTTAAGAGGAAAAGTCAAGATTTCTCTAATAAGGACCTCTAGCCCTCCTGGTAAGGAACCTACCTTGAAGAAGCCGCAATTGCTAATGACACTAGCCGTTTCAGCACCAATTGGTCTCCAACCTGATACCGACAAGGCTTTTGGTTCTTCAGGTACCGAAAGAATAGTTAAGCCTAAGGACTCCAAAATGTTGGACTCCGCCAAGCCATTGGTACTGTCCGGGGAGCAAAGCGGTAAAAATTATTTCTGCTCAGGCCACTGCCACAGTACCAACAACTGTTTGTTTCAGTACTAAAGGAATTTTGATGTCCTTGACCTCCCTGTGTCCAAGATGCATGACTCACCATAGTTTAGTACTGATGTGTTCTCAGTACCAAGGACCTGTAGGTCTCCAGACACGTCTGTTACCTCCTGTTTCTTTCAGTGCTCTGCTACTCCTAGAGTAATGTGGAAGAGGAGGATTCTGACTAAGATCTTGCCTCAGTTTCTCAAATTTGTTAAAGGTTTGCCACATCTCTAGAGGGATACTTTTCCAGAGGTCTTTGAAGAAGCCAATTATATTTGTGAGAAGTATTTACAGACACCACTTTGCTGGTTTGAACACCCATGGGTCATATGCACCTTGTCAGCCATGCTGGAATCCCTAGGTGGCTTACAATCAGCATTTTTCAAGGGACTCGAGTACCACGTGGCATAGAGATACAGTCTCTATCATCTTTCCTTTCCAGGAGACCTGAACCTTTGAGGAACAGGAAGCGAGGTCTGATTAAGAGGTCTCCCCACATAGCCAACATCTCTTCTTCATCCCCAGATGAAGATGTAATTCCACCTCCACCATCCCTGGCTGACTACTTCAAGCAGTTTCAGGATCTTATTAAGAGGACAGCAGACTCCTTACACATCCTGCTTGAGAAGATTAGAGAGTCTCATCAAAGCTGTTTGACATCCTATATACAGCATTATCTGCACAGATGGCCTTTCCTGTTATCGAAGCCCTCCTAGA